GGGGAGGAGACACAGTGACGATAGGGGAGGCGTTGGAAGCGGCTGCTATATCGATCGGCGATAAGCCGGTGGACCGTAAGGACGCCGCAGCTATTCATACGGCCGAAACTATAGTCACCGGTGGCAAGACTGTGCCAGGTGGAGTTGCAGCCGCAGCTGAGGCTGCCGCCGCTATGAACGAGATGAACGTGGAGAGCAAAGTCACGATAGCCGACGTTCTAACAGTAATGGACAAAAATAAAAAAGTAGAGAAATCCATTAGAGAGACAGGACTAGAGTAGAGACGTAATGTGAGTTTTGTTTGGTCGAATGTTTGCAGGATGCGATGGATAAGCTTCCAAGGGACAAGGAAGTAACGGGAGAGGATGCGGAAGCAGTGGTCGGGGCGGAACTGAGGAACAGCCCCGAGATGAAGACCACACCCGGCGGAGTGGCTGATTCCATGTCGGCTGGGGCAAGACTTAACCGACAGGTTTCATAGATGAGAGATCTCATCTTCGCTGAACAACAAAAGTGCATTAAACAATGTACTTGCTCGACAGTTCCCATAGATTGGTGGGTTTGGTTCTTTTTCTAATTTCAACTCGCTTGCAAATGCATCATTTCAAGCCTAAGCTTGTATCCGACAACAATGGAACTACATGTTATCCAACTCAGAAACAGTCTACAAGAAAATATCAGAAACATTGGAACATAGAGAAAAGTACCAAATACCTATTAAGGATCGGCTCCATCTGTCTTCGCACCGAAAGGGTCATGAGTTGGACCAACATCCTGTCCAATATGGCGCTGGACGAGCCGTTGCAGGTCGGACATGACCTTCGACTCACGCTTCGCCTTTTCTTCGTAGTTGAACATTGCCAATGCCCGTTTGTCTTCAGCACTGTAAACCTGGTTTTCCTTTCTGATACGAATAGCATTCATCCTCTGATGCCTGCTTCCACTCATCACATACCCAAGATCCTCAAACTTCTGAATTTCCTCTGCACTCAGACCCACTTCTCCTCTTCTCGGGATACGCTTACCTTGCTGCACGTACTGTGCAATGGCGTCTCCTTCACCTGGCCTTAAAGCGCCACCATAACTGATGTGCCCTTCAGCTTTCGGCAAAGGCATTGGGCCGACGGGTTCTTCGTTATCCATGGCTGGTTTCTTCTGTGACTCGATCATCTCCATGAACTTCAACACCTCTTCGTTGATTTCAGGTTGCTTTGCAGCTTCTTCTGCTTTTGCCTTCGAATCAGTATCCGAACTTCCACTTTCGCTCTCCGATCTTCTTCTCTTTCCTTTACTACGCCGGGAACCAGAACCCGAAGATTTCTTCCGCCTCTTGCTCTTTGACTTGGCATGGTCTTCATCCAATGACTCGGATTCCTCAGTTTGGCTTTCTTCATTGCTGCTCTCATCGGAGTCACTGTATCTCTTTTTCCTCTGTACCCGCCTTCTCCTGCTACGACTAATTTCGCTCTTCCTCTTCCCGATCTTCCTTCTCCGTCTCCTATCTTCATCATCCTCATCCGTACAGCTCTCGCTCTCTTCGGATTCACTATCGCTATACGCTCTCTTACGACTGCGCCTGCTCCTTGAGCTCTTACTCTTCTTCCTTCTCGAACTCGAATCACCCGAATCAGAATCCGACAAACTCCTCGCCTCTGAATCGGACTCTGACTTACCCGAACCAGATTTAGACAACGGTTTCACGTTAGATTCGATCGCTTTCGGTTTCGAATCCCTTCTTTCCCCGTCGTCGTAGCCGTCCTTATCCGGAATCTTGTCGGAGTTTTCATCGGAATCCTCGTTCGGATCTCTAGGAGGGCTAGGCGTGTTCTCCCAGAAGCAGAACCTCATCGATTTTCTCTTCCTCAGCCGCTTCTGCCTCCTGGACTCCTCGAAGCTCAATCCCTTCAACTCCTCATCGGATTCCGAATCAGATCCTCTTCCGTTTCTGTAATCGCGATCCAAGTATCCTCGACTCTTTCCAAATCTTCTCGGCAGCGAGTTCATTGTCATCCTCTCCGCACAACTACGGAGGAAAAAAAACAACAGATCTTCGTGCCCGACTCGGAAATTAGGGATTTGGAAATTAGGATCCCTTTCGGTGACTCGGCGCAGTGAAAAAGTCGTCGCGAGTCCGTGGACATATTTGGCCCAATGATAAGCCCAACAAAATTATCGTTTTTTAATGTTACCCCAAACTTTAGCTAGAGTCAATTGAGCCCCTGTACGAGGATAACGGAAACGATACCGTTTAGTTGCCCAATCAGATAATAAGTTGCTGACTTTAATAACTGTCATTTCTTTTTAAATTTACATATTTACTCCTCCATTTTCTTAATTATTACTATTCCGCAAAGACTTATCAAATTTATCAACTTGGCCCCAAACGCCAGAAAAACCGATATATTTACGACATCATAGTATCTAAGAGATTTATAGCATAACAAGAATCCAACAACTGGGAACATACGTCTTCTGTCACAAGTCATCCACTCACCAAAGACTAGTTCATGTTGAGACTCTCATTCACATTGGTCCTTCAAAGCTTCATGGCACATTGCATTGCATCGCATCAGAAACCTCAGATTCTTCCTCTGAGTGTTGTGAATCCAGAAATAAGCATTGTTTTTGCACTAATCATACTCTAACTCATCAGGTGTGACGGGTCGTTTCAGAGGAATGATCGACTTCTTCTCCACGTCCCTCGATAACGCCTTCCTCATATCTGAAACCGCAACAAAAAGTTTTAAAGGCAAAAAAAGACAACCAAGTATCATAAAACCATGAATGAAGCGTCTAATGATTGGTACGCAACAATCAAACTCACCTAACCCGTCCTCCTCTCCCGAATAATACCTTAACACCCGCCTATAGATTACATATCCAAGCTGCGAAAAAAGAGAAATAGTTTTATCTTAACGAAAAAAACAGTAATAGAAAGCCGTTTCATACTGCAAAGGCAGGAGGATTGTGCTCCCTTTTGTATGTTGGCATATTGCAGATTGCACAATACACAGGAATTACAAAATCCGTTCAGAACATTAGCAAGATATTATATAAGCATCTGCCATAACATCGTTATGCAGTATTTACCTTTTCATACATCTTAATGGCTGGCGTGTTGGAAGCTCTCACGAAGAGATCAACAAAATATGCCTTATCACTGCCAAGGTTAGAAGTAGAGATCAGTAATAAACCGCAAACATGGACACTGCCCATATTCAGTTGGAAAGAGTTCATCTTTCAGCACAGACATGGAAGAAGTCTACTGTAATTTCGCTCACAGTATTCACCATCTCTTGATCGAGTCAAGACCTACCAATATTAAGAGAAAATAACACCAAAAAATAGAACTTTTATGCCAATGTTCAGTCTTACATCTTATCACTGACATCTTCCAGCAGGTTCATCAATTTCTTAGCGAGCTGCTGCCTACGATACTCTGGAGAAACAGTTACAGCTGTTACATGACCATGCCAGGATTCACCTTGCCCTTCAACTTTCCCCATAACTGAAAATCATATAGAAGATTAGAGTCCAGGCACTGCAAATGAACACTGGCTGAGCAAAGAGAAACAGAAGATGGTTTATTGAGAGCATTGATCCTCTTTTTGGTGTTTCAATCAGTTCTAGCTCCTGAAATTTGATCTAAAAGAGGACATTCTGGGTCAACATAGAGAAGCTATCTTCACGGATTCTCAAATAAAAGTCAAGGGAACTTCTAGAAAAGAAAAAAAAACCCTGCAGAATCCATATCATCAGAGCAACCGGTCAATGCTATTGTGCATTCCAAAGAAAAGGAAGAACTGATGAAAGCGAGAAAAACACAAGCCAAAGGGGAAGCATGGGAAATATTCTTGTATGCCTATAATCAATGTCCAGTTTCGTTCATTCTTCAAGGACCTATGGTCTTCCATCTATTTTCAACAGGCAGCCAGAATATTAGACGAGGAGGAGCAAAAACCAGGCATCGCATAGAAGCCATTCTTCTAGAACAAGTGTAATAGTAGAATAAAACTAAAGATTTTCTCCTACAAACGCATTACACTGAGTCAAAATTTACAAAAACAAGAAACCAGAACCGAGGCAAAAGATGAAAGATTCTTACCATAACCCATGATCTGATTGGGAGGACCTTCAGCAACATGGAAATAGTCGGGCCATCGAGCTAAGTAAGTCATGTAGAAGGACATATTGAACTATGCATCAGAAGAGGTTGCCAAATCAACAAGAAACTACAGCCGAGAAAATCAGACAGAACCAGAAATGAAGAAGAAGCTTACGGTCTCTGTGAGGTGGTCGAGGTTCACGGAGGCAAACCGCAGAAGATCGTCACAGCTAAATCTGCGTATGGTCGTCATTTCCCTCTCACGATATATTTGAATTTCTGTCTGAATTCTGAAAAAAAATATTAAATTTTCGTGAAAACAAGCAAAGGAACAAGCTGTTGATGTAATCCTCGTGGTTTCAGAGTCAGAGATGGAAGCATTTACACCCAAAAAAAAAAAACATTTGTCCAAAATCGTTAATGAATCCGTCAAACAACTGAAGCAATGCTAGAAACTCATAAATTACGCAAATTGTTCAATGAAAGACATCACCAATGAAGTAAAAGCCTAGAAACAATAACACATTCCCTAGTTTGATCACTGTTCTTCATTCATACGCATCCATGCTCAAACACCGCCATTCAAGACAAAGCACCAAAATCTCAACCCCGCCTCTAGAAACACGTCAAATCATCGGAGAATCAACGAAGTTATCCAGTAACAAGTACCCTATCGGGTCAATCTATCTCTACGGATTCGAAATCTTCGAACTTATAAAAATCTTTCCTCAGAAGCAAGACAGAATGAAACAGCCCTTGAAGTACAATAGAGAATCACGGAACTCAAACACCAGAAACTCGTACCTCCAAATCTGCGATCTTCGACCCCTAAACTGGGCGAGCTCAGGAGAGAAACCGGGAATTCTGTGAATTCCAAGGAAGGGAGGAGAAAAAGCTGACGAACTTTCCTCCGAGATTCAAAAATCATATGCATATTGTCTCAGCTTCTGTCGACCCATAACGTTTTATACCTTGTGGGCCCTCGGCCCAAAGCCCACGATAACCTCAACATACCAATTCTGCATATAAATATTCCTAGTTAAATACAATTTTTTTTTTTTGAAATATTCACAAAAATTACACTTTAAACAAAAATTTTATAAACATTTCTAAAAAAAATAGACATAATTTTCGAGGGTTTCAAAACTACGTAACGGTATTAAATACCATATAGTTTGTTGTAAATTCTTGTAAGATTTATCATTTTATATATTTTTTTGGAAAGTTTAAAATTTATGTAGTAATTTAGAATTTGATAAATTTGACCGAGAGAAGCAAAATAATGAAAATTGAGAAAAAGTAGAAACAAATCATTGTGAACTTCTTTATGTAAATAAACATCGATAAAGAACGGCGATACACTTCTTTCGAAATTATTGGGCCGTAATGGGCCCAATAATATCTTAATGTTTTCACCCCGGCCTACTCCCAAAATCAATCGCTCGATAACAAAAAAAAATGTTGCTCCGGTCAGCTCGCGCCGCAACCCTAGCCTCCATTCGCCGCCTCTCCACCGCCGCATCGGAGACGGCGGCCGGAAATCCGGTAAAGCCACACGGAGATGGAGGCGTCGGAGGCGGCGGAGGCGGCGGCCGCAGAGACACACTTGGGGGGAGGCTGTTGGGCCTTGTGTATCGGAAACGCAGCGCCGTGGTTGCTATCCGGAAATGGAAGGAGGAAGGCCGTACTGTCCGCAAGTACGAGCTCAATCGTATCGTCAGAGAGCTTCGTAAGCTCAAGCGTTATAAGCACGCTCTCGAGGTTCAGTGACGCCTCTTTGAATTTTCTCTTCGTTTAATCCATCGACATTAGTCCGGCTTGCTTTTCATCTGTTTGGCCGCTTGGGTTGAGTTCATATTGTTAAATTATGTTGTTTTGTCGATGCAGATATGTGAATGGATGGTTTTGCAGGAGGATATTAAACTGCAACCTGGTGATTATGCCGTCCATTTGGATTTAATTACTAAAATTCGTGGTTTGAACAGTGCGGAGAAGTTTTTCGAAGATATTCCTGATCGAATGAGAGACCATTCTGTCTGCACATCTCTTCTCCATACGTATGTGCAGAGTAAGCTGTCTGATAAAGCCGAGGCTCTGTTTGAGAAAATGTCTGAATGTGGTTTCTTGAAGTCCCCTCTGCCTTACAATCACCTGATATCCATGTACATATCAAAAGGCCAACTTGACAAGGTCCCAGTACTTATTCAGGAACTAAAGAAGAATGTCACGCCTGATATTGTCACTTATAATCTATGGTTGACGGCCCTTGCCTCTGAAAATGATGTCGAAGCTGTGGAGAAGGTCTATCTTAAGCTGAAGCAGGCAAAGCTAGATCCAGACTGGGTGACTTTCAGTGTCCTAGCCAACTTGTACACAAAAAATGATTGTCTTGAAAAGGCAAAACTTGCTTTGAAAGAGATGGAGAAGTTGGTGTCTAAGAAGAACCGGGTGGCTTATGCTTCTCTGATAAGTTTGTATGGAAATATTGGGGACAAAGATGGGGTCAACCAAACATGGAAGAGGATGAGGTCGTGCTTTCGGAAAATGAATGATGCCGAGTACCTTAGTAAGATATCTGCACTGGTGAAACTCGGTCAATTTGCAGAAGCCAAAGATATCTATGATGAATGGGAGTCGGTTTCTGGGACCGGAGATGCTAGGATACCAAACCTAATTCTGGCGGAGCACATGAACAGAGGGGAGATGCATTTGGGAGAAACGTTTTTTCAAAGAGTGGTGGAAAAGGGCATTTCCCCAAGCTATTCTACATGGGAAATTCTTACGTGGGCCTATTTGAAGCATAAAGACTTGGATAAGGTATTAGATTGTTTCAAGAAGGCCATTGGTTCTGTGAAGGAGTGGACTCCGAATCTAAGACTGGTTAGAGAGGTATGCAAGGAACTCGAGGATCAGGGGAACGTCGAAGGAGCTGAAGAGCTATTGAATGTTCTTCGGAAGGCTGGCTATACGAACACTCAGCTTTACAACTCGCTTCTACGTACTTATGCTAAAGCTGGTAAAATGGCGCTTATAGTCGAAGAGCGAATGGCAAAGGATAACATAGAGTTAGATGAAGAAACGCACGACCTTATGCGACTAACCAGCAGGATGTGTGTGGCTTAAGCCTCGAGCAGTGTTTCCTAGCCAAATATGGCTGCGCAATTGCCTCTAGTGTCGATCTAAGATCTCATCAGCATCTCTTCCACAAGGTCAAACACAGAAGAAGCAATAAACGATACAGATGATGAATTTGATCAGTGTGGGGATAAATAGTCTTCGAACTCATGGCGAAGAGAAGTCTTGAGAGCGGTATACTCTTCAAAAGCTTGGTCATTTGAGTGGCGCGTGGAAAGCAACGTTTTTGGCATAGGAGAAACGTCAAGGTACATCATCCCAATTAGATTTTAAACCGTGTCCAGTATGTCCCGTTGAGTCTAGGATGATATGAACATTTGGGGATTGGACCTTTGAGACTTGAGGGAAAGTGTTCAGTTAGAAAATTACAATTTTGTAGAAACTGATGATGTGTCTTTTGATGGGTATTTGAATGATTTTTGGGAATTAACATTGTTGAATTATTGTTCCTCGTAACTCTTTGTCCCGAAAAAGACAAAACAGGGCATTGACTAAGATGTTTTTGCCGATGTGATGATCTAAGAGGAGGTTGACTAACCGAATAAACCTCCTCTGGGTTCCAGTGGAGTGGTTATGACTATCTCCCCCGTCTTATGTAAGCTTGAAGACTTGTGCCCATAGAGTGGGTTTGTTTACTTCTCAAGTACAAACCCAATGTAAATTATATTATGGGTTATGTCTTCTTCGCATGATAAAGAGTTCTGATTAGAGCTTTGGTCGGGTTGGTGAGGGCGGTTAAGAAGTTTGCACAGTTGAATGTTTATATATATATATATATAAAGGGTTTCGGTATCAGTGATTTAATGATTTGATTTTATTTAATGCACGAAATAAAACCAAGGTTATGAATAGTTTAAGGCGGGTCTAAACCGTGTGATGAGTCAGAGGATTTGGTCGTGGAATCATCATCCGGAAGTGTTGCGTGGGTTAGGGGTTTACCCAACACAACTCGACCCACTCCCCGACACGATCTCGGATTCTTGTGTGTTGCTCGAAAAGTCGTCAACTTTCTTGGCACCTAACCTTTTTGCTTGTAATGAATCAATATGCAAATGAAAATAATAGCAAAATTAAAAAAAAAAATAGTCAAAATTTTCTAGATGTCGAGACATAATCTCTATGGATTTTTGAAATCAGACTATGATCTTGTCCGAAAGTTTGTTTTTTTTTTGTTCAAATTAAATGATTTAGTTTTTATGCTGTCACATATTTACTATCAATTTTATCTTTTCAGTCGTCGTTTTAAGCATTTGCATCAATTCCTTAATCATTTTGTTTTGTTTTGTATTTAATGCCTTTAAATGCAACTTTTGAAGATTCGAATTGAAAAAATTGTAACAGGCAACCCGAATTCAAAATCTTGAAACCATTTTTGAAAAAAAGAACCTTAAATGACTGCCGCATCAACATCATCATATGTTAATTTGCAGAGAATAAAAAAAATATCATAAAAAAAAATCCTAAACAAAATCGTGTCTTCCATTGGAGTGAGAGTATTTATAGTTAAGTTTCAGGTTAGAAGTTGGAGCTCTTCGTCTTCCTCGACAAAGGGAACTCGATTTCTGAGATGGGTGACGTCATCGGTCTCGAAGATGAGCTCATTTGGTTACCTTCTCATCTCCTCCAAGAAGACTCCTCTGATCACCCAAACTCAGACAAGGTTCTTGTCTTTCTTTTTTGTTGCTTGAATTTCATCACAATTATATATTATATCAATGAAATTTCCATATATATATATCGTTGGATCGATACGGTATTAGTTTTGTTCTCTACAGCCTACAAGAAAGCATCACCACCGCTTCTACCACCGCCACCACCGCCGGCCGATTGTGTCTCCGGCAGAAAACGCTCCATTGGTAACTTTTTTTTTTTTTGTTGGATGACAAAACCCACGTTTTAAAATGAGGAACGAAGTTGATATTTGTCATATTTACCACAAAAAAATCTTAATATTAGCAATATATTGTTATCTAGCAAGAGATGTAAATCATGATATTTCTGCCCTTACATGTTGTGTTGATGGATTTGGTGTCAAGAATTGGAGAGTCCAACCAAAACAGAAGAACCAAAGTACCAATTGGAAAAGGAATGGAGATGAACGTATGCAAGCATTCTTCTTAGCTTCAGGCCCCGCCACTTCCGGCACCGGAGTTTTCCTTCCGACCACCGCTTCCTGTCCTTCCAAAAAGAAACCTGGTACGATAACTATACATACATGCATATACATATATATGTCCAAAAGCTTGTATATAATAATGCTCCTACTACACGGAAATTAATTATGTTGTTCTTGATCCGAATCCATTTCATTATGCCTGGTTATAATCGTCAGCCATTCGTAATATACACAATATCATCGGATTATATACAAGATGGATCTTCATGCACGTGTGTATATATGTATATAATAAACAGCTTGCGCTCCGGTTCTACTTCCATCACGAGTGGTTCAAGCCCTAAACCTCAACGTCCACTCCCTCGGCTTGCAGGTTTCTCCACGTCCAGGTCCATTTTCATATAGATTCTCTCAGTCCAATCTGTACGTACGTATATGCGTATGTATGTATATGTGTATGCTTGTTGCTGTAATGACACAGATGGGGAAAATGGTTCGAGGAAGAAAAACAGAGTGGAAGGATCCACCGGAAAATCTGGAGAGGCGAATCTCATCAGCTCCCCTGAGATGGTTCTTCCCGAGGAATGGACCTACTGATTCATATATATATACATACACACACACATATAATTCATATTTATAATTATACATATCGATCGAGAGAAAAAAAATAATCTCGTCCACCCTTTGTAGACTTGTTTCCCGATTCAGATGCTTCGTTACCGTTGGATGTACACAATTCAATAAAAATGATTGCATTTTGGAAATTTTTTTGTGTTATTTACTTTTTTACGTTATGATTTCGCAGAAGAATTCGTCTCTTGTTATTTTATTTTCCTCATCGAAAGGGGTCCAATTTGTTCAATTGTAAACTCTGGGGTCCAAATGTAAAAACAAAAATAAACTTGACATCCGTTTTCGCTACGATATAATAAGAAGGGTTTTGGGTTAATTTTGCTAATTTCATTCTCTGTTTCCTTCTCGATCCATCCTCCTTCCTTTCCACCGTGTCGCCGTCACTCCGAACTCCCGTCGATTTTTCTCTCACCATCACTCGTCGCCGGCGGAGCTGCCTTCATTGCCGGAATCTCGCCGGTATACTTATGCCGTCTTCTTCTTTGCCTTTTCAGTACTTCTTCCTTCTTCCGCCATTGTCGGCTTTGTTACTCTGACCCGAATGACTCATTTGATCAGCGATTCGTGATGTTTCATAAGTTTCCGTGGAAGTTTCAGGACGCTAGATCTTTCTCCGAGGAGGAGGAGCGGGAAGAAGGAGGAGAAGATGATCTTCAAGATCGAGGACGTAACGGTGTATTTCCCGTATGATAACATATACCCAGAACAATACGAGTACATGGTGGAGCTCAAGCGTGCCCTTGACGCCAAGGGCCATTGCCTTCTCGAAATGCCCACAGGAACCGGCAAAACCATTGCCCTTCTCTCACTCATCACTAGCTATCGTCTCTCTCGTCCCGATTCTCCTATCAAGCTCGTCTACTGCACTCGTACAGTTCACGAGATGGAGAAAACCCTAGCTGAGCTTAAGCTTCTTCATGACTACCAGCTTCGTCATCTGGGTCTCCAGGCCAAGATCCTTGCGATTGGGCTTTCCTCTCGGAAGAATCTGTGTGTCAATCCTAGGGTTTTGGCGGCGGAAAATCGAGATTCGGTTGACGCGTCGTGTCGGAAGCGGACAGCGAGTTGGGTTAGGGCTCTGGCGGCAGAAAACCCAAATGTGGAGCTCTGTGAGTACTTTGAGAACTACGAGAAAGCGGCTGAGAATGCTCTGTTGCCTCCCGGTGTTTATACTTTAGAGGTAAAGATCTAAGCTTTTGGTTCAAAGATTCATTTTTATTCGTTTTGCTATGTCGGGCATCTGAATTCCAGACCTGTTTCAGCTTGAATCACCTTCAACACCAACTTAGCTAAAGTTCTTTGTTTTTCCATGTTTCTGGAAGTGGATGGTTAACATGGGTTATGCGCATTTTGGTTGATGGTATTTGTTGTATTTTGATATTAGGATTTAAGGTCGTTTGGTAAGGAGAAAGGGTGGTGCCCTTACTTCTTCGCGAGGCATATGGTGCAGTTTGCCAATGTTATTGTGTATAGCTACCAGTACTTGCTTGATCCCAAGGTTGCTGGAATCATATCAAAGGAGTTGCAGAAAGAGTCTGTTGTGGTGTTTGATGAGGCGCATAATATCGATAATGTGTGTATTGAAGCGCTCAGTGTCAGTGTGAGGAGGGTTACCCTTGAAGGAGCTACTCGGAACCTTAATAAAATGAGGCAAGAAATTGATAGGTATGCTTTTCCTTCTGTCCATATGACTCTGCAACTCTCTTGATAAACGTTTGGTTGAAAATTTTTCTTCTTTTTTTTTTTCCTTTTTTATTTGTTGCTTGGTGTGGAAATTTTTGGACTATACATGCATAAGCATAACTTCACAAGAAGAGTATGTAGATGTATGATATTGTTTCTTGTAAAGTTGTAACTGTATTTTGACAACTCTTGACACATGGCTGTGATCATTTGCCTCATCTTTATGCTCTTAAAGTTGTCATGATTCAGTACAGGAAAGGACCTGGTTGCTTGCTGATACTTCTTTTAAAATCTCATCATGTTATTAAATTTGCTGAAAATGGTAGGAAGGTTCAAGGCAACAGATGCTGGAAGATTGCGTGCTGAATACAATCGGCTTGTTGAGGGTTTAGCACTGAGAGGAGACTTAGCTCGTAAGTATTTTGCCAACAAAGCTAGTGCTTATTTGGATTAGATATGTAAACCGGTGTGATAAATAGTAGACATCTTCTGATTCTCTGAACTTGATGTGGAATATATACTTTTTTCTGCAGAAACGGATCAATGGCTTGCAAATCCTGCTCTGCCAGATGATATTCTAAAGGAAGCTGTTCCTGGAAATATTCGACGGGCTGAGCATTTTGTGCATGTTTTACGCCGATTAGTTCAGTACTTGAGAGGACGGCTGGAAACCGAAAATGTAGAGAAAGAAAGCCCAGTTAGTTTTGTTAACTCGCTGAATACTCAAGCAGGGATTGATCAGAAAGCGCTGAAGTTCTGTTATGACCGGCTCCATTCTCTGATGTTGACCCTTGAAATTACAGATACAGATGAATTTTTACCTATCCAGGCAGTGTGTGACTTTGCAACTCTCGTGGGGACATATGCACGTGGTTTTTCGATCATAATTGAGCCCTTTGACGAGAGAATGCCTCATATTCCTGATCCCATATTGCAAGTAAGTGTGTTCTGGTCTGCTTGTGATTTTCTAAATACACCATTTGGTTCATATGTGAACCACCTTCAATTTGTACCATTTGATCATCTGATTGGCGATAATTGGTATTGATTGATGCATCTCTTCTTTTGTCTTTTAGCTGAGCTGCCACGATGCATCTCTGGCAGTAAAGCCAGTATTTGACCGTTTCCAATCAGTAGTGATTACTTCTGGCACTCTGAGCCCAATTGATCTCTATCCCCGCCTTCTTAATTTCCATCCTGTTGTTAGTCGAAGCTTCAAAATGTCAATGACAAGAGATTGCATATGCCCCATGGTTCTTACTCGAGGAAGGTATGAGAAATTTCCAAGTGTTTTCCTTTCCGATTAATTTACCCCGTAAAATTCAAAGCTCTTTGTTTCCTCTTATTTATTTTGTGTTTTAACTTGTGATTTATGTCCCTTTTTTTCAGTGATCAGCTTCCCGTTAGCACCAAGTTTGATATGAGAAGTGATCCTGGTGTCGTAAGGAATTACGGAAAGCTTTTGGTAGAGATGGTTTCTATTGTTCCTGATGGAGTTGTGTGCTTCTTTGTCAGTTATTCATACATGGATGGCATTATTGCTACTTGGAACGAAACTGGAATTCTGAAGGTGAGATGTTGGTCCTCTTACTCTGTGGTTCATGTCTTTTCATGCTGGAATGATTCTCCATTTGGCCATGAAAAATTTTGTAGCTCAGTGCGGTCCATGGTTAGCTAGAAACAGAACCATTGGTGGTGCTTCAAAATATATTCTCAGATATGCAGCTACTGCAATAATGTAGACATGCCTGGTAAAGATTTCTTAAGGCTGTTAAATGTTGTAGGAAATAATGCAACACAAGCTTGTCTTCATTGAAACACAAGATGTTGTAGAAACAACATTGGCACTTGACAATTATCGTAAGGCCTGTGATTGTGGAAGAGGTGCAGTTTTCTTCTCTGTTGCCAGGTAAAAATCCGACATTTCAGCCCCCGTTTACCATGCTCATGTGGCTCACTCTTGTTTCTGATTTCAATAAAGCTTTGCAATTGAAGGGAGAGAGAGAGAGAGACTAATTTCCATTGGTCTTGCACCTAAATTGCATGTATTTTGTGAATTGGGATGATTTTGTACATTTATATTGACTTGTACTTGTCTATTTGGATTTTTCGAACAAATTAATTACATTTTATAGTTGGATGGCAGGGGAAAGGTGGCTGAAGGTATCGATTTTGATAGGCATTATGGCAGACTGGTGATTATGTTTGGTGTTCCTTTTCAATATACATTAAGCAAGTGAGTTTCTTTCTAGGATATGTGTTTTTCTTTTACCTTTTCTGTTTTGCTGCTTCCGCTGTTTCATCAGAAGTTGTTCTACTGAAAGATGCTTAGAGCTTAAGGAAAATAATGCAGAATATTACTTGCTCGGTTGGAGTACCTGCGTGACACGTTTCAGATAAAGGAAGGCGATTTCCTTACATTTGATGCCTTGGTATGTTTCCACCTTCCCATTTCTATGATTCTTACTGAATGAAACAAACATATGATTTTTTTTGTAACATTTATCCCTGGCTGTGACTACTAATGCAATTTAACTTCTTAACTAACAGAGGCAAGCGGCTCAATGTGTTGGGCGAGTTATTCGGTCCAAGGCTGATTACGGAATGATGATATTTGCTGACAAGAGGTATATCCCTTGCTCTCAGACTAATCCATCGAGTATAGATTTGTGAACTATAGATATCTCTATGCAGGTATAGAATATAAGATTCTTGGTATCCTGTTACCTAACAATGAAGAAATTCTTGGGATGGAAAGAACATAGGTTGATGGGAGATGGGTTATTAGGCAATATATCCTGTATAAGCTATACCTAGGAAGTGTTGCTTAAGACCAAGAAACTCATAGCTTGTCCAATTATCTACGAGGAACTATTTTTTGCTGCATGTTCTTTTTTCTTTTTGGTAATGTGTCCTAACACTCTCACCATTGATGGGATCATTCATACTGCAGATATAGCCGTCATGATAAACGCTCCAAATTACCCGGTTGGATCCTCTCGCACCTGCGTGAAGCTCACCTGAACCTGAGTACCGACATGGCTATCCACATTGCCAGAGAGGTAAACTTTCACTTACAATCGCTGCATAAGTAACTTAACTATGGTTAAAAATGCACCTGAGTTGGTTAAAACTCGGGTTTACAGTTCTTGCGGAAAATGGCTCAACCGTACGACAAGGCGGGTGGTAATACGGGGAGGAAAACCCTTCTCTCGCAAGAAGATTTGGAGAAGATTGCTGAGTCTGGTGTTCAAGACATGGGCTATTAGAAAGAAGAAGAAAAAAACCCTAAAAAGGAAGAAGAAGACTTTAGCATGGCTTATGGAAGGTTTCTATACAAAGATTTTGATATGAATTTTGAACAGCCGGACACGGACCAGATATCCAAATCTCAGGCTTCTCCTCAACTCAAAGTGCTGTTTTGCCTTTCTGTTATTGTAATCTTATGTTCCCTTTCCTGTCTCTGTTTTTTTTTTTTTTTTTTTTTTTTTTTTTTTTTGTAGTTTTATTCGGTTGCCCTTGTGGCTAGTGAGATTATTAATTATTCTATTTAATAATAATATGGAGTCTAAATCTAAATTTTGTATTAAGAAAAGACACGGTTTCGTGTATGATTTTTGGTCCGAAACCATGGGGGAAGAAGTCGGAAGTAAGATACGTTAGAGACACCATGAAGTGGCTAAGATATTTGCCAATCCCATTTCTTTGAAATTGCTAATCTTCATTTGCATTAAGTGTTTTGTTTTTTCCCTTTATGTTTTAAAATTATTAAAATAATGTTTTCTTACCTAATCTCCCAATTTTTGGGTGGAAATTAGTTAAGTAACCTAAAATAATTCAGATATTGCAAATTAGTGGCCAAGATATTGCATGACTTTTCATTATATACTTTGGACCAACAATTTCCATTTCAAAAAAAAAAAGACTGAACACCGTTCTATACGAATCAAGTCCATTAGATATACGAATTTGATGTTAAATTTGTACAAATCTGCATCACACTTGGTTAAAATTTAATTTTGTTATCACAAATTTCAACATTATAATCATAAAAAACCATGTTCCATTATATCCCAAGCAAATGAAGCCGAGGACAAATTCATGGGTCGATGTTCCACTAAACGTAACTCACCGGCGACCATAATGCAATGCGCATGCACTACTATCACAATGTCATTACCCCATATATATCACCTCATGTTTCCTCTGATTCATGTCTCTTTCGTTGAAAAGATTGAATCCACGTCAAAGGTTGTCTCCCACTACAACATTTATACATATATACGTCGTATAGAGGGTATACATATATACTCAGACCAGATTCTTGAGGTTCTTGGATCGTAACCATGCCGTCCGCAACGATCGACATTGCAGCTTCTGGTGGTGGTGATGGAGGAAGAGTTAGGTCGAGGAAGGGGAAGACAGAAGCCCGTATCGGGTTTTTGAGATCATGTCTTGTCTCGTTCGAGAAGAAGAAGAGAAGCAAGGCTGACATCAGAAGAGTTGTGCATAGCGTCAAGGTTGGGTTTGCGTTAGTATTGGCCTCTCTCCTCTTTCTTCTCGACCCTCTCTACAAGAAAGTTGGCGATAACGCCATGTGGGCTATCATGACTGTCGTTGTCACCTTCGAGTTCTTCGCCGGTATATACTGAAACTCCCTCTTCTCGATCTTCTGCAATCTAATTTCTTGTCGGGCTCTTGTGTTGAATCAAGAAGCGTTTCAACTACATGATCTTTCGCAGGTGCAACCCTCTGTAAGGGCTTGAACCGGGGGCTCGGCACAATACTGGGAGGTGGGTTAGGGTGTTTGGCTGCAGCCTTGGCTCAAGAAGTAGGCGGATTCGGACATGCTTTTGTGATTCTCGCATTCGTTTTCGTATTCGGTAAGCAAAAGGAATCGTCTCTTCTTGGAACAAACCTGCAATCTTTAGAACGAGTTTTCTGAGGGGGAATCAACGTTTTCAGGTGCCGGTGCTTCGTATTCAAGATTGGTTCCAGCCATCAAGAAGAGATATGACTATGGGGCATTGATATTCATCCTCACGTTTAACCTGGTGGTTGTGTCTGGCGTACGAGCAGAGAGAGTGTTGGAGTTAGCTCGGGAACGCCTTCTGACTATCGTTATCGGATTCTGCCTCTGTATCTTCGTCAGCTTGCTCGTTTTTCCTTTGTGGGCAAGCGACGAACTTCACGATTCACTCGCTTCAAGATTCAGAGACCTCTCCGGATCAATTGAAGGTTGCTTGGATGAATATTTCAGATCCCCTGAAAACAAACCCAGTTTCAGTTTCAGCGGCTGCAAATCGGTTCTGCATTCGAAGTTAAGGGATGAAACTCTGGTAAAAGCTTTTAAATCTTGAAACGGCGATTAAATCTTTTTACTTAAAGATATGTATCAGAGCTATGTTGTGTCTCTTGTGAATCTTGAAGGCGAATTTCGCTAAATGGGAGCCATGTCATGGAAGGTTCAGGCTTTTTCACCCGTGGGACAAGTATCTGCAGATCGGAGAACTTCTTCGTGACCTTGCTGCAACTATCCTTTTGTTCGAACCTTGTCTCAGATCCTCTAAAGAGGTACCTAAATGTGTGTGTGTGTGTATATATAAAGCAAACAGTCCCGTCTGTGATGTGAGATTTGTGTCAGCAGGCTTCCGAGTTGCTGAAACAGTCGATTGAAGAACCGAGTGAGCTCACAGGGACAACCCTTGTCTGGATCTTGGGAGAGCTCGGAGAAAGCATCACGAGAATGAGAAGAAGCGAGCTATCGGAGGACATAACGCCAAAGCTGAAAGCTGTGAGGAGAGAGCTGAGTTCAACGGGTCGGAAACTGGGAAAGGAGGGTTCCTCGGCCGGAGACGTAATGGCAATCATGAGCTTTCTGTTCGTGCTATCTGAGACAGTAAACAAGGTTGAAGAAGTGGCAAAAGAAGTGGAAGAGCTGACAAAGCTTGTCCAGCCTGCAGGAGAAGCACCAGATAACATGAATGGAATAGCCACTGGTGTAAATCCAGAACTCGCCAAGAAATGTGAACAGATGTGTTAAGAGACCAGAGATGAATAATGGGTTTTGTCAGATCCAGTCACAAGTATCACATATAGATTCTGTTCAGACCAGAGTGTATAATCCCTTGTTGGTTCTGCGGCTCGAAGCGTGCAAAAGTGCTATCCGTTTCAGCAACGAATCAAATATCCCGACGCCATTGGTCGGTGGATTACATAAGCATGGCTGATAGTGACACCATCCCCACCATTTCAAACATCAGATTTCACTCAAAACACAACAAGTATACGTAACATGATGTGTATATATATATATATATATACATACATAGTCACATGCATATACCGACAGTACCTACCCTGATGAATCTGGTCAGCTTCTGGAGTCTATTCATGTGTTGTAGCTAGGGCTGGGCGTTTCGTTTCGGTTCTTCGGAACCGGACCGAACCGAACCGTTAAAACGGTATTTTTCCCGACCCGAAACCGCTGTTATTTTTCGAACGGTACCATTTTTACAGAACCGAATTTTTTCGGAAATGAACCGAACCGAACTTTAAAAATCCCGGAAAACCGAATATTTTTAAAGAAAATCTATCATTTTTTTTAATAAAACTCGAAACTGAACCGAACCGATACCGAAACCGAACCGAACATAATACAATAAAAAATCCGATTGGTACCTATTTTTATAAAACCGAAAGAACCGAACCGATCTATTCCGTCCCAAACCCGAACCGTTTCCCGAAACGTCTATCCTTAGTTGTAGCAATATACTAAATGGTGGCTCTAACTCGTAAAGAAATAAACAAAATATTTTTCAATCTAGATTCGAGTCGTTATTCCAAGTTAATGTCGATTTTTAATTAGTAATATTGAGACTCTTATCATCTCACCGTCTACGTTAACGACGTCGCCTTTTTTATTAATTTCTAATTCAATTTAATTTCGCACGATAAATGTTCTTCATGTCATGTTTATCTATAAAAAAAAATTCAACATAACGGATATATAACGGTCCATTATAATTTATAAATATTCGGAATAGACAAGTGGGGAGTATTATTCGACCACATGTTTATAGTCCCTTTTCTTACGATGTATTTGATAATGTCGCCAAATTCATATAACGTCAAGTGGGGAGTAATTTACAACATCTTTATCTTTACGACAATGTCGTTATATTAAATACATATAATATCAAGAATGAAATTAATTATATCAAATGGGGGGAATCAATTCAGCTGCCAGCCCGCTTTACAGCTTGTAAGAATACATTAAATTTAATTCATGAAATAAAATCATTGATTGGGTTCTTTTAGCTGATATTCGTAATAAACAAAGTTCTCATTTTTTTTAAAAAAAAAACTCTACAAGAACCATATAAGAAAAAAGACATACATGTATAACTCCAAGTAAAGATGAGTTTATATAAACACTAATAACCAGACCATATATTATTAACTATATATTATGAGCGCATTTCAACCCCCCCCAATGTAAAATCACGGGACAATTAAAAAACCTTTCATTTTAAATATAATATAGCGGAAGACATTATACAATACATGAGTACGTTTACATACGTACTCAAAGATAACAGTATATAATACAAGTGGTGCGAAAACTATAATACCCATATCTACTGATACATTACGTTTCCCCCTCATTGTCAGATCATTGTCAAGATCACGTGGTGGCAATATCGTAATTAATTAGACCATACTCGTGGTAGTCAAAATCGGTCAAACATCGTCCGATGATAATAATGACAGTTCAAATTTGGCAGGCTCGAATCAACTTCTATAAATGGAAACCATCGTCTGAAACTATCTCAGCGACTGAATCCACCATGGCTTCATACCTTCTTCACCATGTTATCTTCTTCTCCACTCTTCTTTTCATCTTCCTCTCTCCGACAACGTTTGCACAGATCTCGTTCCGACCAAAAGCCCTTGTCCTCCCGACGGCTAAAGACGCTTCTACCCTTCAGTACGTCGCCACCATCAACCAACGCACCCCTCTGGTTCCGGTGAAGGTCGTGGTCGACCTCGGCGGCCAATTCATGTGGGTCAACTGCGACAAGGGCTACGTCTCCTCCTCGTACCGCACGGTCCGGTGCCGCTCCGCCGCCTGCTCACTCGCCCATTCCTCCACTTGCGCCAGCTGCTTTGCCGGGCCAAAACCAGGCTGCAACAACGACACTTGTAGCGCCTTCCCCGGCAACACCGCCGCTCACACCAATACTATTGGCGAACTCGCTCAAGACGTTTTCTCCATCAACTCGACAAACGGGTCGAACCCGGGTCGGGCCGTGACCGTCCCCAGATTCGTCTTCGTTTGTGGGACTACGTTTTTGGTTGAAGGGCTTGCGAAAGGCGCGGTGGGTATGGCCGGTTTGGGCCGTACGAAGATCGCTCTCCCGTCTCAGTTCGCCGCCGCTTTCAGTTTCCGGCGGAAGTTCGCCGTGTGCCTGTCGTCGGGGACAGGCGTCGTCATATTCGGCGACGGACCCTACGTCTTCCTCCCCGGTATCGAGATTTCCCGGCTGACTTACACGCCGCTGTTCATCAACCCCGTGAGCACGGGCGGCGTGTCTTTTCAGAGCGAGACATCCACCGAGTATTTCATCGGCGTCAGTGGAATCATAATCAACAACAAGCCCGTGCCTTTGAACCAGACCCTCTTGAAGATCGACGACAAAGGGGTCGGTGGGACCAAGATCAGCACCGTGGACCCTTACACCGTGTTGGAGACGTCGATCTACAACGCCGTCGTGTCGGCGTTCGTCAGAGAGACGGCGGCGAAGAGAGTCAAGGCGGTGGCGCCGTTCGGTGCTTGCTTCAGCAGCAAGGGTGTGGGGAGCACGCGCCTGGGGCCGGCCGTGCCGGCGATCGACCTGGTGTTGCAGAACAAAGACGTCGTCTGGAGTATATTTGGGGCGAACTCGGTGGTGAGCGTCGGCAATGACGTCATGTGTCTGGGATTCGTGGACGGAGGAGTGAACCCGAGAACCTCCATCGTAATCGGAGGGTATCAGTTGGAGGATAATTTGATCCAGCTTGATTTGGCGGCGTCCAAGTTAGGGTTCAGTTCCACGTTGTTGGGACGTCGAACTACTTGCGCCAACTTTAATTTCACTTCCACTGTTTGATGAGACATTTGATGCGGATTGAATAAGAAAAGAGTTGATGTAATAAAGTGTTTTGTTGCAGAACAAAATCGCTTCAAGAAATCTACCATGTTTCCTCAGCTTCCTAAACCCTAAAATTGGCGACAAACAGCTCCCAAGTGGGTGCCCTAGGTGAGGGTGAATGAAGCACCTGGCCAAAACAATAAAAATGTTATAAATAAGACGCGTGAAATCATGCACAGATTTCAGAATAATACAACTAAAATTAATACACAATCAGTACAAAACGCACTAAAACAAATAATCCTTTTTTTTAAAACGTTTAAATACAAAACTTTATACATGGCTCATATGACTAAAACAGTCAAATGTTTTCGAAAATGAATACATTAAATGTTAGAAAATAATTTTAATCTGATTTTAAAAAAAGGGTGGCGAGAAATTACTGAGGAAGAATCGGCATTGAACCTAGAATGTCAAAAATCTAGCAGAAACTGTTGATGTGTTTCTCAAATATTATTGCCTCTGGGATCAAGAGAGAACTATAATCCTACTCTTGTAATTCACAAAATAGGTAAGAAATGCTTTGAAGTAAAAAAAAAAAAAGGATGACATCAATCTCTCTGTTCTTCTTCAACCATTCTCTCAGATCTCATTCACCTTGAAGAATTATATAACAAACAACTCAGCTCATCACTTTTGATACCACACCAGCTCCAACTGTCCTCCCTCCTTCCCTCAAGGCAAATCTTTGACCTGCACATCCCATCGTTTTCAATATTTGGTTATATCAAGACGTTACACTGCACTGATTGAGGGCACGCACCAGAGACAAGCAGGAATCGGTTATACCTGGCTCGAGCGGGACGGGCAGGATGAGTTCGAAAACTGCAGTGACATTGTCACCAGGCATAACCATCTTTACATTTTCGGGCAATTCCACTTTTCCTGTCACGTCTGCTGTCCTCAAGTAAAACTGAGGCCTGTAGTTAGAGAAGAAGGCGGTGTGACGTCCACCTTCGTCCTTTGTCAGCACGTAAATCTCTGCTTCGAACTTTTTGTATGTCTTGGTTGTTCCGGGCTTTGCAATCACCTATAAGCAACCACAGGAATTAACATCAGTGAAGTTGGTTATCCTATATTTGCCCAGATACCATTCTCGCATCCAAGACTCCAAGTGTTGATGCTGAACCAGTTCAGAAACTAAGTGAGATGAATTCTGGATCGAGATACACAAGGGCAAATAGTAAGGAGAGCCTACCATGCCTCGCTGCACATCTTCTCTCTTCAACCCCCGCAACAAAAGTCCTACATTATCACCGGCCTAACATTGTCGAAAAACCAGATTGTTATTAGCACCATATGGACCAAAAATGTCAGTATAGAGTCCATAATTTCCCAGTTTCCAACTTACTTGTCCATTATCCAAAATTTTCTTGAACATCTCAACACCGGTAACCGTGGTTTTCAGTGGAGGCCCCTAAAGAGAAATTTTAAGGTGAGAAAAAAAAATCACAAGAAACTGCTTGGGTGTAATAGCACATTAACCAATACCAAATCAATTTTACAGAGTCCACCATTCTTCAGCAAAGAGAAATCGACTCATCACAAATCACCACAACTCACCTGCATTAAACCCAAAATCTCAACTTCTTCACCTACTTTGATGGTTCCCTGTTCTACACGACCGGTTGCAACAGTTCCACGCCCCTTCAAGAAACAGGCAATTATCAGACATCATATATAAAAATAAATGATAGATTAGTCTTTTAGTAGAAGATAATGTCACTCGGCTCGGAAGGTCTTTGAGTATAAAACTTTGAGAAGATACATATTCTAGTCACAATTACTAAGAGGAATTGCTCTGATAAGGGCATGGTACCTAGATCCTCTCATAAGGTCAAATAGAAGAAGATAAAAAATAAAAATAGCTGAAACTTGAATGACCAAGGCAAGAACATGGAAAACAGAGAAAGACTTCTTGTGGTAGCATTCCTTCTCAGACAAAAAAGAACAAGGACACGGATTGTATTACCTGAATTGAGAAAACATCTTCAATAGGCATCAGGAAGGGCTTGTCCAGTTGGCGAACTGGGTCAGGTATATATTCATCGACAGCATCCATTAGCTTCAATATAGCTTTCCTACCAATTTCATCATTAGTACCCTGCAGAGCAGACAAAGCAGATCCCCGGATGATAGGAATTTCATCCCCAGGAAACTTGTAGAAGCTGAGAAGTTCTGGCAGAGATAAAAGAGGCATTAGAAGTCTTGAACTTCCTAAGGACATGCTAAGAAAAAATTGCATGACAGAACAATTATACAAACCCCGTAGCTCCATCTCAACAAGCTCCAACAACTCCGGATCATCCACAGCATCAACTTTATTGAGAAAGCAGACAAGTGATGGAACACCAACCTATGTTACAGCAGTAATTGAGTTGTAGCTAAAAAAATCCAACTCATCGAGTAGCGCAAGTATTTGATCAGATCGCAAGTTCACAACCAGTCCTAACCTGACGTGCAAGTAGGATATGTTCCTTAGTCTGAGGCATGGGTCCATCTGGTGACGAAACCACCAGAATACCACCATCCATTTGGGCAGCACCGGTGATCATGTTCTGACAATTAGCAGACAAAGCTACAGAGTTAAAGGTTTATGGAAATTCTCTCCCAAAAGACAAAATTTATCTATCCTTGTACAACTATGCCAGAAAGCAATTCTGCTATATTATGATGCTTCCACACAGGCCAATTCTTTCAGTAATCATAGATCAAAATTCAAAACTCCAATCACTAAACAGAGAAATAAAACCACTATGTAGTATAAGTCGGCGAACGCTATGTTCCCATCTTACTTTAACATAATCTGCGTGTCCGGGGCAGTCAACGTGAGCATAATGGCGCTTTGCAGTCTCATACTCCACATGAGCCTACAAAACCATGTACAGTCCGTAAACACTACCAGCAAAGACATTCAGCATGATGCAAGCAACTTCCTCACGCGAGAAATAAAAAGTAGAGATAATCCAGACCGTTGCAATCGTGATTCCTCTCTTCTTCTCTTCAGGAGCTTTATCGATTTCATCAAAGGCGACAGCCTTTGCTTTTCCCTCTTCGGCCAGCACCTACATGGAATTAGGTTGCGTGATAAAACTGAAGACTTTCTCTTGATTCTTTATTGAGGTTTTGAAAATATAAGTCGGAGATTCATGCAGGAAAAATCTGAGTACTACCCACCTTTGTAATGGCAGCAGTTAGAGTGGTCTTCCCATGATCAACGTGTCCGATTGTTCCGACATTTACATGAGGTTTTCTGCCAATATAGTAATTGTAATTAGGAACCCGCGTCATAAGAACAAAATCTCGGGGAGAAAAAACTAAAAAGGTTAAAACATTTTCCAACAAAGGGAACTCATTTTCCTCTTCAACATTCTCCTATCACTACAGAAGCATAAAAATGTACGAATCAGGACCATTTCCACTCTAACCTATGTCCTAACACGGGTTCCAAAACAGACCACGGACCCTGCTGCTGATAAAAAATTCTATAAGAGGGGGATTGAGAGAGATCTGACAAAAACGAAAGAGAAGAAACTCACGTCCGAGTAAAAGTGGCCATCGATCTCCAGCAGGAGGCAGAGAAACTGGAGGAGAGGCGATCATCCCCTCCGACGAAAACGGACATCGAATAGGACGAGGGGATAGAGCCGCCGCAACGTAGTGAGTAGATCTGGGAAGAGAATGGGATGAGCCGCTTCGAGCTAGGGTTTCGAAGAGCCACGGACGCCATTGGAATACCGCAGAAAGGGTGGAGCCAAGATGAAACAGGGTCAATCGGAGAAGCGACTCGGACTATTTTTCGCCTTGGAACTGTGCAAGGGAGGTTTAGGGGAGGGTTAATTGAGGGTTTCAGTCGAATCCAAACATATATTCTGACGACCCGACCCGTTGACCCATTTAAACTTGGGCCTCCACTTAATTGGGCCCTTACTGAATTATCATGACAATCGTTCATATATATTATAGATCCAAAATATATTGTAATTGGGAGAGATATAAGAGTAAATTTAATTTTATAATGAGAGCATTTAATAATTTAAATTAATTTTTTAAAATTTCTTAAGAAATTAAACATTTTTTTATAAAGTATGTGCCCCACAATAGATCCGCCCGCCCATGTACATGCACTAAAACGTATTGTTATTATATATATGTATAACCGTTAAGATTACGTGGAAATGGGACCCACAAGGGCCCCACAACTTCATTTATATTATATATTCGAATCTACGCTTCGACATATGCTTTTGTTTAATTGTATCTTGTTTGAAGATTATAGTTTAAATTTATATCAATGTTAGAATTTATTTGAAATGATTTTCACTGAAACAATAAACAAGAAAAAAAAAAAAAAACATTTTACGTTCGTCGAATTCAAATTGATATTTTTTGCACACGTCATCTCTTGCGTCATTCCCTTTGAGGTCCCTCTCATGGTCATGGTTGGCTGATTAATCATGTGTCGTGTGCTAGTTTTTGAATACACACACATATATATATATATATATATATATATATATATATATATATCCACAAAATATATGCGTGCCATTTCCATGCATATATAATATATATGATCTGTCTTTCTATTCATTGCGAAAATCTTATCAAACAAAAAAAATAATCTCGAGACCCCTCTACTGCTTCATCGGCATCACATTTTTTGGCATCTTTCTCTGCTATGAAAATGAAGCTGAAAGAAGGTGTGCAAAGAAAAAAGAAAGTGAAGCCAGCCATAACATTTGCAGATGAGACTGTTTCAAAAGAGATTATTATCAAAGATGTAACATTTTTGCTAACATAGCAGCCTTGTATCTACATGCATTAGATCATGTGGTATTGGATTGGCTCAAAGTTGTTCAAATCTCATCCTTTTGGGAATCTTGGAAGCATTGCTCGTCCCAGTAGTAAGGGAACTTCAACCTTGCAGCTGTATGTGGCATAAACCAGTCGTCATAGATGAACCTGTATATAAAATGAAATGCCATTTCATGGGTATCCATCAACTGTTGACTGAGACAAAGAGATCGAAGCAGCACACTGTTGGGAGACACCATTGACAAATGCCAAAAGAACTAAGAAAAGACTAGGCATTGTAAGCAAGCAGACTATTAATGCATTCAATGGAAGATACTACATACACTTTGATAGGAGGACGGGAAATGATAACCAGAATCTGGAGGTCCTCATGTTCATCAGTATTCCAGACCTGTAAGCGACGTACCAGGTTGTCACGAGGTGGAATTTTATCACAACATATATAATTCAAATTTCAAATCTACACAGCGGAAATACTAGTTTAACAGAGTATGCGAGGAAAAAAACCTGATGAGCATCGTTGATTGGGATATAAAATGTACTGTTTGCGAAGATGGGAAATTCCAGCGGCTTCCCCGGGTATTTACCCTGCGAATTTTCAGCAAGATACAGTGTGCCCTTTCCCTTCAGGACGACGAAAACCTCTTCACAGGAGTGCCTGTGAATCGGTGTGTGTACACCTGGAGTAAGTGTTTGAAGCCATATTTCGACCTGCAATCCCGGTACAAAGATCATTATCCAGTGTTCAAAGCATGCATCCCTGTTAAACCTATGATACCGATCCCATCATTAGTCCAACTCTAAGAGCGAGTATATACACAAATGCGTTCTGTGGAGCCTAACATTGAGCTGGTGTCCTTTTGATATACCTCTTTCATCCCGTGCATTACTGAACCGGCGATAGTCATGTGGGAAAATCCTGATCTTCCATAGCTATCTTGAGGAAGCTCACTTATATTTCTCACTATCGGCAACGCTGCACACCATTCAAGAATTGAGATTCAAGAAACTAGTAAGAAGAACAGAGCCATAGCCACAAATAACTCTTAATTCCATTGAACAAAGGAACTGAGCTCAGTCTCTAATACAAGTCCACTGAATGCCATGTATCCTCTATAGCATATCAGCAACACGTTTTTTCTCTCCAAACCACTCGGTAAAATTTCTGGAAATCAGACAGCAAAATATGCTATCGTGTTCAGACAACAACAGATTCGCGTAGCTGTAGCAGAATCATAGAACATCGGTGCGAGTAACCAAGAGAAGAGACAGAAAGAGCAACAGAGAAACGAAATTCTTGAACTCCAGATTAAATAAATTGCAATCTCAGCACATTTCGTTTCAAGAAAAGCAGCAGAAACTCCGGAGGATAATAACGGAGAAGATAAAACTTGTTCTTCATCTACATATTCAAACGAGACCTTAGTTTCCAGTGGCGAGCGTGCAGAAAAGCGCGGGACGGGACTCACCGTTGTTGGAGCAAGGAGAAGCTCCTAGAGTAGTTCCAGAGGAGAAGAGGAGAACACTGGAGACGGTGAGAAATACGGTAATCGGAGACGACGACGGCGTCGGAGAAGAAGGTCCCATGATTTCGTCGGCGACTACAAAATCCAAAGAAATCTCTCGACCCAATGGAAGTTTTTGGAAATCTTTCAGCGTAATTTTGAATTATGCCCCAATAAAGCTCAATTTTTCAGATGAGACCCCGCGTAATTATTTAATAGTCAATAAACCCCTTGTTTAGTTTGTTAGCAATATTGGGGCATTTCTGTGAATTTAGTAAAATAGGAGGTGTGTTTCCAACGTTCGGTAAAACCAAGGGGGTTAACCATCGGAAAAAGGAGTCGCTGATGAGGTGAGGAGGATGCTCCAGCCAAAAACCTTACCCTTTACCTCTAAAACCCTCGCATCACCGGTTTCTTGCTCCATCGCCGGTGAGATTTCACTCTTAGTTCAACTATAACGGTTTCTTAGCTTCTGGGTTCTCTTCGAATTTATAAAGTTCGATGCTTTCACTGAAGAAAATGGTGACCAGTAAGTGGGGATTGTTTGATTTCAGTGTTCTTCGAGGTTTTGGAGTCATTATTGTTCGTGTAGTTTCTGGGTTAGTGCCTATTGTTTTCATTTGCTCGATGATAATCGTCGAAATTCGGTTGACGTTTGCGAACCCTCGACATGAACAGCCTGTTGTTCTTCCATTTTTGCAGGTGGAAATTGTGGGAAAATGAAGATTGGATTCTGCACGGGCTTTTCAAAACCTGGGTTTCTGCTCGTGCATTCGGAGCTGCCATCATTTTTGCCCCTTAAATCTCGGTTACTGAATGAGTATACTCTGTGCAAGTTGTGCAACCATAAGAAGAAGATTGGGATGAGCACTAGACTCCAATGCGCAATTGCTGGCAGAAACTTTGCATCAGATTCTGTGGAATCATCTGTGTCTAGAACGGACAGGTCTCGATCAGGGCGAAAGGGTGGGGCTTCATCGTCCTTGTATAGTCGTCCAAGTTTGTTGGATATGAAGATGGAAAAGGCTGCGAACCGTACTAGGGTTTACGAGTTTTTGCGTGGTATCGGTATCGTTCCTGACGAGCTTGATGGGTTGGAACTTCCTGTGACAGTTGATGTGATGAAGGAGCGTGTGGATTTTCTTCACAAGTTGGGGCTTACGATCGAAGACATCAACAATTACCCGCTTGTTCTTGGTTGTAGTGTAAAGAAAAACATGATCCCGGTTCTAGATTATCTGGGGAAACTAGGAGTGAGGAAATCCACATTTACCGAGTTTCTCAGAAGATATCCACAGGTTCTTCATGCTAGTGTTGTTATAGACATTGCTCCCGTGGTTAAGTATCTCCAAGGATTGGATATTAAACCGAAAGACGTACCTCGTGTTCTCGAGAGGTATCCAGAAGTTCTCGGGTTTAAGCTTGAAGGCACCATGAGCACTTCAGTCGCTTATCTGGTCGGGATAGGAGTAGCAAGGAGGGAAATTGGAGGTGTTTTAACTCGATATCCCGAGATTTTGGGGATGCGAGTAGCTCGAGTAATTAAGCCCTTTGTGGAGTATCTCGAGAGCTTGGGTATTCCAAAACTGGCCGTGGCTAGATTAATAGAGAAGCGGCCTCATATTCTCGGGTTTGAATTAGATGAGGCAGTGAAACCAAATGTGCAAACCCTGATAGATTTCAATGTCAGAGAAACATACCTTTCTTCTATAGTCGCACAGTATCCAGAAATTATAGGACTTGACCTGAAACCTAAGCTCGAGACACAAAGGAAGCTACTTTCTTCGGCCATTGATCTAAATCCTGACGATTTTGGCCGTGTCATCGAGAGAATGCCACAGTTTGTTAGCCTAAGCGATTCACCCATGCTAAAGCACATCGATTTCCTAAAGGAGTGTGGATTTTCGGTGGACCAAGTGAGGGTAATGGTCATCGGGTGTCCTCAAGTTCTGGCTCTGAACATCGGAATAATGAGGCTTAACTTCGAATACTTCCGGGTGGAAATGAAAAGGGCACTTGAAGATTTGGTAGAGTTTCCTGCTTTCTTTACATACGGGCTCGAATCCACCATAAAGCCGAGGCAGATAAAGGTTTCCAAGAAGGGAATCAAATGTTCGTTGGCCTGGATGCTCAACTGTTCGGATGAGAAGTTTGAACAGAGGATGAGCTATGACACAGTAGAGATGGATGGATCTGAAACCGAACCATCTTCTTTCGATATGAACTCACTGACGCAACCGCTAAGAGATGAATCTGATTACGAGGAAGATGATTCCGAGTTTGAGGACGAGGACGAGTATGCGTGATACAAAAGGTGGAATCGGCTGGGGACAAGACATAAGACAGGGCATGTTGCAGGTTTCTGATAGGTTTTGGACAGGGAAGAAAAAGATGTGTGTGTGTGTGTGTTTGGTGTGGTATTGATTGATGTTCAGAGGAGAATTCTGTGTATTCTTTAGCAGATGAATTCATGAGGCTATCTTTGTTGTCAAATGTATCCATGTTGCATTAAATTGATAAAAAGGAGACGAATTAATTGTTTTTATATTTAATTAATTAAATTAACAGGACGAGAGGAAAGTGCTCATTGAATGACTGAAATGCCCTTCGCCGGGGATAAATCTGTAATTTCAAGTATAATTTCAGCACCAACCCTCCTCTCGCGAAGAGAACCTCACGATCATTTCTTTCGTCTCTCGTCTGCTTGGCCCTCGCACTCTTCCCTTGTCACTGTTTCTCGCTCTCTTCACACTCTCGTAATATTCTCCGATCGCTCTTTCTTCGCCTCCTCGATTCTCTTC